GCGTGGTTTTCCATTGCGTGCTTTGGTTTCCCCCCCACAGTCGAAAGATGTGCAGGTTAATTGGACTGGCCATGCTAAATTGCCCTGTAGTGTCCTAGAATGTGCAGACTAGGTACTGTAGCTGCAGTTAATGCGGGGTTACAGGGATAGGGTGGCGGAGGGGGTCTGGGTGGGATACTGTTCAGAGGTTTGGTGCGGACTTGATGGGCTCAGTGGCCTGTATTTGCACTGTAGGGATTCTAAGAGTTGACTTTCCCAATGTCCCCAGCAGAGCAGTGGGCCCACTTAGCCCCCTTAACTTCCTTTGTGCTGGAACGACTGCGTCCCATCTTGGACCCAGAGGACTGACTGTTGCTTATTTCCCAGTAAGTAGGGGTCTCAACCTCCTGCCTTGACTTGTGCCAAGCAGCCAACTTACATAATAGCAGAGGATACCTTTGATTTACTGTGCCAGGGCCCCCTGACTGATGGCTGTCTCCCTTGGCTTGACTGCTACACAATTTACACACAGACTTTGAGACAAGGCAGTTTGGTTGAAGCTTATGTGTGTGTTTGTCATGTAAACTGCTGGCATGTGTTGTAGATGTGAGATTAACATAGTACATTGCCATACAACAACTGATCATTGCTGATGATCATAGCAAGTTGCCTGGCTTTGTGTCTTCGGCAAGGTGAAACAGAAATACTGTGAGAGTTTAAGCTCTGGTTGAAGCAACAAAGCACAAAAAGGCAAGGCAAAGAAGAGATACTGTGATTATCCAAGTAGGCACAACATGAAGGAGCACGAAGAGAGCCTATGAGGACCCCTTACATATGCCTTAGTCCAATCCATGAGATAAATGAGGGTCAGAGATGTGGCATGAGGTTATAGTGAAGATAGGTAGATATCTAATCCCAGTCTCTGTGGATGGAGTTATGGGCAGTTGCTACCCACTGAAAGTGCCCTGCGATGCTAGTGACGACTATCCAAGACAGAGGCGTGGATGAGTGAGCAGCAAACACCAGGTACTCGCTCTGACATTCCTGTCAGGAATTGTTACTGTCTAGTTTCTAGATGGCAGGTGGAAAAATGGCAAGCTGCATATCAATGAGGTGAGTTCAGGTAATAAATAGCATACGCGTGGATGCAAATAGCCCTCGTGCCATTCATGAGTGGATTCTTGTCCTGCCGATCAAAACGTCGTTTGAAACTCAGACATTTTTCTGTTGATGTCAACAATCTCATTTTTTCAGTTCTCACCCTATTTTCTCAACAAACTTACCAATGCTCGTGTTGTTCAGGAGCTGGGAAGTTTCTGCCCAATATTTCCGGGTGACACTGAATCCAAGTGAATTGGTTAATTAATTTGTTTATATAGTTTGTGAACTTTGGAATGCTGATCATCTGCTTTTAGTATCTGATACTTCCAAGGTGTTTTATTTCTTTCTCCTCCTCTACTGTCAGCATTTATTTTGAGCCTTGAATGGAATTGCTTGTCCAGGTCTGTGAACAGTTGACAAGTTAGGTACAGTGAACATGTATGAGGAAATAGTCATGTTAAAATGACAAGATTATAATAAATTTCCAAGGTGAGATAGTAGTATACTGCTAATGTCATTGGACCCGTAATCCAGAGGTTTGGTCTATTCCTTTTGGGTCATGGGTTCAAATCCCACCATGGCAACTTATGGAATTCAAATTCAATTAATACATCTGGAATATCAAGCCAGCGCCAGTACTCGTGGAATCATCAATAGTTGTAAAAACCCATCTGGTTCCCTAATGTCCTTTATAGAATTAAATCCATCATCTGTATCTTGCTTGGCCTACATGTGATTGCAGACACACAGCAACATGGCTGACTTGTAACAGCCCTCTCAAGAGGCCCAGCAAGCCTTTGCATTCAAGGGGAATTAAAAATAAGCAGCAGATGTTGGCCTTGCCAAAGATGTTCTCATTTCATGACTTAATGAGTTGTTTTATGAAAGAAATTGGCACTTACTATATCAATTTTATTTGTAAGTTATTGGATCAGACCTAGTGTGAGTATAAAGAAAAGAATAGAAATGTGCTATAACAAGATGAACAATAGATAATAAGATCTGCTCGTCACCAATATGATGAGCAGCACAACCTATTGAGAAACCTTGACGGTTGGGCCTTCTGCACATTTAGCCCTTATACCAAAAAAGTATTGATTCCACCAGCTAGATATGCAGAGTTTCAGCAGCAACGTGACCTCTTCATCATGGACATTGAGCTTCCGCCAAATGAACAGATGTCCTCGTATTCTTTCCCAGGCAATGCCTTCTGGCAACTGACGCTCCAATTGTCAGAATTTCCTCTTCTGCTGTCCAATAGTTATCTGCTGTCAGCATGGTGGCATGATTGTTTTCAATGTTCTGCATATTCTGGCATTCAGACTGTGTAATGATGTGTAATAAGATCAGTTATCATAAGCTGCTTTGATTCCCATGCATGTGGCATGACAGAACCTCAAGGTGCCAAGAAGGTGACTTCCAGTGAACAGTTCGTTTGTTTGGTGGACAGTATAATTACCTTTCCTGGGAATGTTTCAACTGAACACATTGACTTCACAGCTTGATCCTGGATCTTTCAAACTAGCAAAGTGATGCTCTCCCATTGGATGTCCAGGAGTTCTGAACCATTGAGGAGAATTATTCAGTTCCCTGCCTCGTCATTTATGATCTTAGTCTGCACCATGACTTTGCAATTCCTGAAGTAGGAAATTTAGGCCAAAAGTTCATGTGTGCTACAATGGGACACTTGTTGAAGCACTGAAAAGAGGAAGGGATACCCAGTTAAAGAGACAGAAGTCCCCTGAGATTTGTAGCAGAAACTACAGATCGCACACAGAAAACAATCAGTAATAAGTTGAAAAGGGAATTCAGGAGAAACATTTTCACCTATCGTTTGAATTCAGTACCATAAAAAGTTATTGAGGTGAATCGGATGGAAGTCGTTAAGGGGAAAGGAGATTAACACATGAAGGAGAGAAAAAAAAATCAGAAGTATGCTGATAGAGTTAGATTAAGGATGAAAATGTTTTCACAGCATAAATTCAGATATGGACCAGCTGGGCCTAATGACCTGTTTTTTTCCTTCTGTCTGTGCATTAAACTTCAGATTTTTTTCCTTTCAAAAAAATTACTATCTTTGAACCCACCCTTCGAAAGAAGTCAGCAGCCTGAAGAAAGGAGAGATGCCCACAACTAGGTCCTTTCTTTAAATCATGACAGTCAGTGAGGTCAGGAACAGTCGAGCTGCAGACACAAATATTGGTTAGGATCTCATTACCAGCATTTAACCAAAGAAACATTGGCAGATGTCAAGCATTGTCATCTCCTGATTTGGTAGAAGAGAGGAAAGGAATATTTTAGTGCAGCATTGGTAGTCTGAGGATGCAGCAATAGGCAATTATTTATCATTTACTGCCACTGTACAGACAGTAGTTTTTCCCAGCTTTTTGTTACAATAACATGTCTTTACAATGTACACAACAACATTTTCCTGCCTCCATGCAAATGGCCTCTTACCCTAACAGGTTTGACACCAACTCATTATAATTCTCATCAGTGCCTAAGGGAGCGCTGAGGGGTTTGTTGAGGAGCATGGGACTTGTCAGTCATTGGCAGTAGCCCCAAGGAACCCTCCTTAACCATGACTGACAGCAGATTTTAGCCAATTTTAAATTGATTTTGGATCATTTTTCTGTAATTGTTCACCATTGTGGATGAACCTACTGATCCTGCTTCATTTCCCTAATGAGCAGCTTAGCCTGACAATGTGCTGCATCATAATCTACCTTTGGAGCAGCTTTTGATTCATGTAAAGAGATTTCAAGTACTATTTTAAATATCCTTTACTTTCATCTAACAGCTCTTCTTGGCTTGTAAACTGAATGGTTTGAATACTGAACATGTTCCTTTCATAGATTTCTCACCATTCTGCTGAACAGAAGTGTATATTCCTGATGCAGAAAATTAGGACTTCTAATAAGTGTTGCCTGACAAGTTTTTAAATTTGGAGCATCGTATTCAAAGATTTTTCTTTCAGTTGGTTCAAACTTGGTTTCACTTTTGATGTAAGTGGAACACATTAGCTAAAAACAAGTTATATTGCAAAGAAGTTGAGTAGAAATCCATAATACTTGCTACTTTATATGTGAATAACCTCCATAGAAATTAAAGCTACCTGGGAATGAAGTTGATCAGTGTCAGCAGCATGAAGTACCAAATTGGCAGCCAGTTTTTCAATGGACCCATTTTTATTTCCCACTGACTCAGAAAATAGAGCCAGATTTAAAAATAAAATTCAACCAGTACGAGTGACCATGAGTCAATGAGGGGAAACAAGTGCTTAAATACCTGTTTGAACTGTTGTTCTGTGAACTTCAAAGGGAAAAAAGATCAGTGTAACTGGAAAATTGGCTGCCAATTCAATGCAAACCCATTTTGCACTGTGGATCAGTTTCACCCCCTCCTTTATGTCATATGTTGCACAGGTCTTGGAGATCAGCTGTTTGAAAAGACAAGAATATCAAGGATTTCTTGGACATTTTTTTGAATAAACTACTCCTAATGACCCTATTTCCACTTTCACAGAATATTTATTTTGTCACCTTTGTGATCCTTTGTTCAGTATGTCTGAAAAGTGGGATCCCCTCCAGCAATAAAAACAAATCCCAGAAGGAGCAATGTGAATTATTTTCCTGAACCTATCACTCTGCTGTCACTGTAATCAGATTGCATAAAGTTCAATGTTCTGTTTGTCTCCGTAAAATCAGAACACGCAGAAACCCGGAGTTGCTGTGACGGATCTCCTGTGGGAGAAAGTGGATGTGAGAGACTTGCATCATATTTACCATTCGAAAATTAGATATCTCTGAAAGCAAGAAAATACTTATGGATTACACAATGCCTTGTAACCCTTTGGTTTTACATGTCTTGTTGTGCATGTGGATTTATGTGATTAATTTTCACCCTTTGTCCTTTCCCAGATCCTGGTCAATGACTCATGGCTGTGCACTAATCTAAGCTAAATCTCAGTGGGAGCGCAGAAGAAATCTTCACGTTTTCTTTCAGGCCTTGTTTTATCACCCAATCTTTGAAGATGTTACTAAACACAAGAACTTTGCTGTTATATTTGTTCTGTTGGTCCAAGTGGAGCTCATCAATGGAGATTCCAGAAGAGGGTAAGATAAAATTATTTAAAAACTTTCTTTCCACATTATATTCAGTTTTCTGGAGATCTGTTTATTTGTGTGGACTCTAATGTTATGCTGGTATTCCTCCCTGTTTTATGCAGTCAATGAATGTTTAATTTTGCAAAACTGAATGCTGCCTGTGTGTATCGCTAATTAGGCAATCCCTTAAATGGTGCAGTTGGAAATTATTTTACATGAAGAACTGCTTTGAATCTGCATTCCCTCTTATAATCAGAATTACCTAGTATTTTGACATTAATATAGCACGGTATTCTAAACCAGTGTATAATAATGTATTTGCCATTTTAAAAATCAGTGCATGCATAAAACAAATTTTATTTAGTAACCCAGATGTTGAAATGATCTAAAAAAAATTTGTGTTTTTTTTTGCAAAGAAAAGAATTGCTGCAGAATCCTTTTGGGCTTTTGTCATTTTGTGATCCAGTTACAACCAGCTACTGACATGCAATAAATTATTGATGAGACGTGATCCATTATTCAGACTTTTAATGCAGCTGCTGGGCATGGCGGCATAAATGTTCATTAACAGGACACACCATATATGTAGTGTCAAAAAAAACCCAAGTCATATATAATGAGAAGGAAAACAGATCAAGTAATGAAGTGGCAGTTGTGTTTTTTTTCAAATGTAATGTTACCGCTGAGTCATCCGGTACATTACACACTCTACTAATTGGTAGTTTTACTACAACAGTGTTTAAGTTACTTTTTTTTAAATGATGAAACCATTTTAACATGCAAGAGATAGAAATGATACCCAGTACCAAAAACAGAAATTGTTGGAAAATCTCAGCAGGTCTGGCAGCATCTGTGAAGAGAAATCAGAGTTAACGTTTTGGGTCCAGTGACGCTTCCTCAGAACATGTTAACTCTGATTTCTCTTCACAGATGCTGCCAGACCTGCTGATTTTTTTTCCAGCAGTTTCTGTTTTTGTTTCTGATTTATAGTATCTGCAGTTCTTTTGGATTTTATGAAATCCAGTGTTTGGTAGAAGTGATTCAAGGAAAGACAGCATTTGTTTCGATAATTTACTTTTTAATTTTTTCAAATTAATATCTTTAGTAATACTAGTAAATCTGTGAAGAATGTCAAGGAGATTAATCACTCAGCAGCTTGCAGTGTTGAGTCTGATGGACTATTATTTGTGTGAGGTAATTAGAGGACATCAACTTCAATTTTGGCTGTTAAACTGTCAGGTGACTTTGAACTGCCAACCTACATTTTCCAGGATTGTTCTGCCTCCAATAGATAAAAGGAGGACTTTAGATCCCTCTTTAACATGTTTTACAAACTCGGTTTTATGAGGTGGAGTTCCACCAGAAGCCAAACTGTTGACATCAGAAGTGTCAATTCTATAATTGCACAAGTAACTTGCTTCTTATATTTTCACTTGTCTGGTCTCAGACTTCGGATGTGAGCTACACTTGCCTACTTTGACCAGAGATGGAACTGGAAGCCAGTACAAAAACTAGCAGATCACTCACCTGCGACCTGATAACACTTTTAACCAGAAGATAAATAAAATCATAACTGCTTGAATCACAACTAATTATTTTTAAAACCAAAGTCCATTAATAAAAGTAATTAAGTTTATAATTATGATATTAAATGATAATGTCAGCATTTTCAAAAAGTGTTAAGCTTTGCATATATTCTATACAGGATTGCAGTCATTCATTTAATTGCAACTTGGAATAGTACTACCCAATAGCAATAATAAATCTGAATGTTATCAACAATAAATTCCATTAATTTTAGGATTAGTAGCTCATCATGTACATATAGGGTATACTTTTACAGTGGTCAGTTACCTCCTTATTCTTGCATCTTACAAGTAAATATGACAGTCTTTGGCTTGAAATATTACAAAGTACATTAACTGAAGTGATGCAAAAGTAGCTAATGATTCTTGTTTCCATTTTCCCTTTGCTTACTCTGGATCTAAAGTTTTTATTCAAGAACAAAGTAAGTTAACCCAGCACAATTAAAGTTGCTGAACATTTTAATATTTGATTGTGTTGTACCTGCAGTACTTTGCAAGCTGCACACAGGTGCTGAATTTCAGAAGACTGTTTGTTTATTCTATTCAAACTCTCACCATTTATTTCCTATCTACCATTTCTTGTCCATTCACTTAATCTGGCCAAACCCTCATGAAAAGATGTTGTGGATAATTGTGGAGCTGGAAAAGCACAGCAGGTCAGACAGCATCCGAGGAGCAGGAAGTCAACGTTTTGGGCTGAAACCCTTCATCAGGACTGGGATGGAGGAGGGGAGCCCAGAAATAAATAGAAGGAGGCGGGTGGGGCTGGGGGAGAGGTGAGATGGAGATAAGTGGATGTAGGTAGGGGGCTTTTGTAGTAGGACAGTAGGAAAGGTGGAGCGGATAGGTGAGTTGTAAGATGCACATGTTGAGAGAGGAGAGATTTTGAAGCTGGTGAAGTCAATATTCAGGTCATTGGGCTGTCAGCTCCCAAGGCAAGCTATGAGTGTTGTTCCTCCAGTTTACGATTGGCCTCAGTCTGTCAGTGAAGGAGGCCAAGGATGGACACGTCACCAGTGAAGTAGGAGGGGGAGTTAAACTGGATGGCATCTGGAAGATTGGGTTGCTTGGTGCATGCAGAGCGGATTTTCACCTCATGCTGGTCCCTGAGTCTGTATTTGGTCTCCCCGATAGAGAGGAGACCATATTCAGAGTAACGGATACAGCAGATGAGGTTAGATGAAGTGTAGGTGAATCTCTGCCAGATTTGGAAGGATTGTTTAGAACTTTGGTCAGAGGTGAGAGGGGAGATATTGGGACAGGTGTAGCACTTCCTGCAGTTGCAGGGGAAGGTATCAGGTGTAGTGGAGAGGTTGGTGGGAGTGTGGAGCTGACGAGAGAGTCACAGAGTGAATGGTCCCTGCGGAAAGCGGATAGGGATGGAGAGGGAAATATCTTTTTGATGGTGGGCCCTGATTGCAGGTGACACATGTCAGAGGAGGATGTGTTGTATTTGGAGGTTGGTGGGGTGATATGTGAGGCCTGAGGGGACTCTATCCTTATTGTTGTTGGGGGGAGAGGGTTTGAGGGCAGAAGCACGGGACATGGGAGAGATTCGGTTGAGGGCATCCTGAATAACAGAGAAGGGGAAACTACCGTCCCTGAAGTAGGAGGATACCTGGGAACTCCTAGAGTAGAATGCCATGTCCTGGGAGCATATGCGACACAGGCAGAGGAATTGTGAGCGTGGGATAGCATTTTTACAGGAGGGTGGGTGAGAGGAGGTATAGTTGAGGTAATTGGGAGCCAGTATATTTGAAATGGATATCAGTGGTGTGTCGGTTACTGGAGATGGAGGTGGAGAGGTCCAGGAAGGGGAGGGTGGTGTCAGAAATGGTCCAGATGAATTTGAGGGTGTGGTGGAAGGTATTGGCAAAGTTGATGAACTGTTCGAGCTCCTCACAGGAGCACAAGGCAGCACCGATACAGTCTTCAATATAGCGGAGAAAGAGGTAAGGGATGGTGCCGGCGTAGTTGTTGAAGAGGGACTGTTCCACCAATCCTACAAAGAGGCAGCAAAGCTCAGGCCCATGCGGGTGCCCATGGCCACCCCTTTGGTTTGTGGGAATTGGGAGGAATCTAAGGAAAAATTGTTGAGAGTGAGGACCAGTTCCACCAAACAAATGAGAATGTCATTGGAGGGGGACTGGTTGGACCAAATGTGTGCCGATATGAGAATTAGCTCAGCGGTTTTACACTTCCATGTATTAGCAAGAAAAGGTCACGTATCCCTTCCACTTTATTGTTCATTACAAGGCAGTGTCCAGTTCAGATTCAGAGTTCATAAGCTGTATTGCACGAGTATGGCATGTGCTTTGAACTTGGAAACTTCCAAGCTGTTAGACCCAATGTGCAAATTATCAAAGGTCTGTATGGTTTTGATGCGGAGATGCCGGTTTTGGACTGGGGTGGGCAAAGTCAGAAATCACACGACACCAGGTTATTGCCCAACAGCCTGATTTCAAATAAACCTGTTGGACTAATACCTGGTGTTGTCTGATTTCTGACTGTGGTTTTGAGTTGGTCTTTATTCATTTTCCAGGAGTTGAACTGTGATTGTGTCTGATACATTGGTGAGGAATAGAGAAACAAGTGCATGAAGATCACAGAGTAAAGGAGCAGCTATGATTAGTAGCTTAAAATTCTTGCACTGTGTAGGAACTTGATGGTACTTAATGTGTTCAAGGGGATCACAGTTGCACCAGAACTGAACACGATTCAAGTAGCAGTGAACATTGCCACTTTTGACCTTGTTCTGAAGGCAAACTCATGAACAAAGTAGTTGAAGCCGTTTTGGCTCAGTATACCTGCAGTGATATCCTGACACGAAATTGATTAACTTCGAATAACTACAGCCACCTTACTTTGTGTTACGCAAGGTCCTACTCCGATTTCTAATAATATGAAATTGTTTAGGGATTCTTCGTGCGACACAAAGTCAAACATTGTGTTGATGTCAAGGGCAGTCACTCTCACTTCATCTCTCACTGATTAGCACATCTTCCATCAGTTTAGCAGTGATTGAGAGTAGATTGATGTGGCAGTAATTGGCTGGAGTTAATTTATCCTGCCTGATACAGACAAGAAATACATGGGTAATTTTGCACATTATTGGCTAGATGCCAAATTGTGGGTGTACTGGGATAGCTTGTTTAAATGGACCCCCAGTTCTGAGTACAAGTTTTCAGCTCCACACCTGAATGTTGTTGAGGAAGTCTTTAGGTATCCATTGCACTCAGCCATTTCTCTTTATCATATGGACTGAATCAAATGGCCTGAACACCGACACTCAGAGGCCACAGCAAGAGGTTGAGATAAATCACCTAATTTGGTCCATGAAAGTAAAGATCATTGTAAAAGCTTTAGTCTTTTTGCATTTATGCTGGCCTCTGTCATCACAGAGGATGGGGAAGATTTATGGCACTTCCCATTATTTGATTAATTATCAATGACCCTACAACTGAATGTAACTGAGCTGTGGAACTTTGAATTAATCCATTGGTTCTGCAATCGCTTAGCTCAGTCTGTTGCTTGCTGCTTTCACTGTTTAGGAAGTTACTTGTTTATAGCTTCACTGGGTTTGCACCTTATTTTTACGTATGTCTCCTGTAGTTCCTTGCATTCTTTCATGCACTCATCATTAAATCTTGGTTTCTATCCTGGCTTGATAATAAATGTAGAATGAGCAATATGTCAGGCCATCAAGTTAGAAATTATGGTTGAATACAATCGTGCTGCTAATGGTTCACATAGCTTCATGGAAACTTCCATGTTTTCAGTTCTGTTCTGCATCTGTCCTATTTAGTACAGTGTTAGTGCCACAGTACACAATAGAGGATGTCCCCACTGTGAAGGTGGAACTTTGTCTCTGGAGGACGAAGCAATTGTTGCTCCTACCAATGCAGTCATATAGAGATTCACCAATAACAGGTAAATTGGTCATAATGAGGTTGGATTGATGTTTTGTGATTGGTTCTCTCACCATCTGCTGTATGTGCATTCGAGCAGCTATTTCCTTCAGGACTTAGCCAGCATGGTCTGTAGTAGTGCGACCGATCCACTTCTGTTGTGCAGGCTGAAGCCCTCACCTGGAGTAAATTCTGTGTCCTTGGCACTGTCAATGTTTCTTCAAAGTGGTACTCAACACAAGTACTCACTTGTGTTGAGTACCACTTTGAAGAAACATTGACCAGACCAATTGAGAGAGCGTGGTGGGTGCTAGTTAACGGGCTTCCTACCCATGTTAGATCTGTAGTTATAAGACCTCATAGGTTATAGAGTCAATGTTGAGGACTCTCAGATCACTCCCTCCTGACTGTACTGCTGTTCTACACTTCTGATGAGGCCTAATTGTTGGTGGGACAGATTGTATGCAGGAATGGTGATGGAAGGTAATGGGACACTTGCTGGAGAATAAGATTTGATGAGGAAGATGTTTCCAGATTCTTTCTTGACTAGGCTATGGGACAGCTTTCCCAATTTTGCCACACCATGCCAAATAATAATCATAATTTATCAACATAATTTATCATAATTTCATGATAATCATCATACTTTATGCTGGGGTTTCTGCTAAGTACTTGATCGAGTTTTATTTGACTTTTCAGTCATAACTGAGTGACAGTTACCAATGTTAGGGATGTAGGTATCTGTAATCTCTTATGTAATGCAATTCTCTGTAAGTATGTCTGTCACTCATCCATGCTGTTCCATCCTTTTGTCAGTTTCTTGTGCATGATTGATGCTGTCACTGTTGTATCATAATAAGCACCTCCATCACATCACAGTAGCCATTCTTAATATGCAACACTTTAAAGTTGCTTTCCTTTCCCCAACTTTCCCCATAACTTGCCAATTCAACATCTCTCCACATTGTTTTTGACTTTGAAGCTCCTGTCCCTTTCCCCACTATCTTAACTCTCCAGGTCTGCCTCTCTCCACACTGTTTCTGACTTTCAAACTGTCTCAAGTGCGAGTGTGGAAAGTTGCATCATCAGAACAAAGATAACAGAAAAGGGAAGAATGAGTCCATACAGGAAATGAGGTGGGAGGAGGTAGAGTCAAGATAGATAGCAATGGGAGTCTGTGTATTTATCATGAATGCAGAATCCATGTCAATCGCAGAATTTTGAGATTGTTGAGAAATTCCCATCTGTTGGTTAATTGCTGAAATAATCATTGTTAGATATTGTCAGAGATAAATATTACCATTTAAAAAAAAAGCAAGCATTCAGTTTAGATTTGTAGGAGAGGTGGGCACCCCCATTCATCCAAAGCAAGTATTATGCACAATGGTTCTATCCACTGATCTTTGTCCTTCAGTTAGGAAGTCTACAATCTAACGTTGGGCTCTCCAAACCACCTGTTTAATTATAATCGATAGTTGGGAGTTTCACTTTATCCTTGTCACCCACAATGCACT